AAAAGTCAACTGCTGAATTAGGACTCTCCCATAGATTGACTCATAGGGAGGATTTTGCTATAGTTGTAATGTTGCTGTTAATTTAATAATTTCACCTGTCAGTGGGTCATGTGCTCCTGGTAGATTATCTTCTATATATCCATCCATTACAGTTACAGTCTATAAAAGTCCACTGCTGTACATAGGCCTCTCCTTATAGATTGCCTCGTAGGGAGGATTTTGCCATAGTTGTAATGTTGCTGTTAATTTAATAGTTTTACCTCTCAGTGGGTCATGTGCTCCTGATAGATTATCTTCTACATATCCATCCATTACGCCTATAAAAGTCCACTGCTGAATGAACATAGGACCTCATAGTGATGTTATTTGAGAGTTTGTTTTTTTGGGTTGTTATCAGGAAGATGCTGCTGCTCATCTTCTGTTTTTTAGTTTCCCTCTATCGCCTCTTACGAAATCCACGGGATGATATGGGTTAGTGGATATTTAACACCGCCATTCACGGTGGATATACTCTTTTACGTCGTTTTTATTAACTATCTTTCGTGTATGTCTGTTCGGGTAGAATTTAGTTATTTATTGATTTTAAACTAACTTCCCGATAGAGTTGGATGACAATATAATAAAAAAATAATACATTATTTAAAAATTTCACTTGCCTCTTATAAATTGAAGTTACAAACGCACTTATTATCCGGTATACGTGGTAGAGCCACGCTGTAGCTATATTATGGTTGTAGCGTAATGCTGCTGTGTTTCGTGTGCTGTAGAGAACCGGAGCCCCTTTTTACTGGATACGAGGCATTCCATCTTAGTAATTAGGGGTGACAACGCATTAGTCTGCATTTTGATTCATAATCGAGGATAGATGTAGATGTCTATAGGCCACAGTATCCACTTACCATCAGATGGACTGTGTGCTCGCTTCTCACACTTATTCTACGAGTATTAAAAAAAGCGTTTGAGTCTCATAGAGTGCGTTTTATCTATTAAGTCTTACAACATAAAGAATAGCATACATAATTTTAAAATGAAAATATCGATATCATACGAGTATGACAAGATAACTTGATAGAATTTATTCTTTGATTATATTACTAAATAGATCCCCGAAACTATAAATTTAAGCAATAACTACTACTATAAAGTCACTTACCAGGCAATTCTTTGGCATTTTATGACAATGGAAGTCCCGTTTACATTTGAACACATAGGTGGACCGTCGGTTTCACTGCACTAACCATCTGAAACAAAATAAAGCATTCCTTTAATATAGTTCAGTGAACAGAAGGACCATAATAATTTCATTAAATACTCGTAGTATCATACGTATGTATGTTATTCTGTTTGTTGGCGGCGATAAAGATTTCATGGTTTCCAATATATAGCAGTATAACCCGCTTAGCACAGATATAAAATAACCTAACCTAACCTAACCGTTATCATTATGTCCTAGCAAAAGCCCACTGCTGAAAAGGCCTCCCCCATAGACTGCCTCATGGGAGGTATATTTGTCATCGTTTCTACGCTTGGGTACCGTACGTTCTTGTTTGTTTGTTTCCTTGTGTCGATTCTTATGACACCCACGGAACGATATGGAAGGCTATTATATACCGCCACTACACGATTTACTGAACTAATAAGGTTGTTACAAAATAAAAACATAATATACCCAGATAAAAATCTAATGAAAGAATTAATTATCAACTACATATAATATTCTTTACTTCATGAACATGAGACTTAAATTAATCTGCGTTTATTTATTGTATTGTAATTTTAATCCTTTTGTTACATATATACATTAAAAGTCTTGCGAAACTTTAGGAATAGACTAGACTCCTTAAGTAGAGTTGTTGGTGTTTATAATTAGAGTGAGAAGTAGTAAAATAAAGACTTTGTACGTCCCAAGCTTGGGCACAGGCCTACTCTCATTTCTCTTTCATTGTTGGAGCAGAGAAAAATCAACCCCGTTCTTGGCCCAATGAGTGTTGGCGAACATTTCGCATATTCGAAATTTTTATTCACTTTCTCGCAATTTTGTTTGACCGATAAGCACGTTTAAAATAGTCTTTTAATTAGCGAATTACAATATCGGTGGTACAGCATCGGTGTCGGTTTACTTTTACATTACAAAATTTAAGGTGAGCGAGGAGAGTCTAACCAACTACGGCTTCAACTGTGAATAACATTTCGGTATGTTTTATTTTGAATTCTATTTTTTAATAGAATAAGGTTGACAAAAGATCATACAGCCTACTCGATGGTAAGTGGATAGATACTGTGACCCATAGACATCTACATGTACTCGAAAACGGAATTGCAGATACGCTGCCATCCCCGAGGCCTCGCCTCCGTAAAAAGGGACCCCTTTCTTCACACTCACCATACGAAGCACAGTAGCGTTTCACGCTGGTATTCTATGAGAGCGTGGTCCCTCCCCGGTTGAGTCGGCACATCCCTTCCACAACAATAAAAAAAATAGCTGCATGCCTCTACCACGTTAATGTTAAAATTTCTAAAGTTATATAATATATAATAAGCACGAGTAAAGATTTTCTCTCTATCTCATCTACCTGTTATAACTGTATCTTAGTCCTCTTTCCCATATTAAGCAATAACAATTACAGTTCATATATGTACATATTGAAATATAATCTATATTTAAGTACGGTGTACAGCGAAGGGGACGGACGCCGGTCGCAGGCCCACACCGATGCAAATGTTTCTTACAAGGAAAACATTAGCGTGTTTGTTACGCTAAAGGACTCTGAACCGCCTGCGTATTATGAGACGCGGTTCCGTATAATTTTTTAATTTATTAAAAAATATATAATAGTTTTATCTCATGGAATAAGCGCTCGTTTCAAAATTGCATCGTCACCGCACCAATGGAATTGTTAATTGCAGTTTTAAGTGCTGTTTTACTTCGTACTCAGCGGTGAAAGAAAACGTACAACTTCAAATCCGTTCGCTTTTAAGCATTTTTCTGCGATGTAATTAGGCAGGGGACTTTTTAAGCTTTAACGGAGTCAGATTCTGGCAGTGTGGCTATCTCTTCCTTATTCCACAGTAAACTCTTATTGTATTAAATTTATTTTAGTTGAAATTAAAAAATAAATATGTATTTTCTATTGTTATGGCTACAACTGCTAAATTTCGATTTGACTTTATGATTTGAAAGTTTTTTTACGATTTGGACGTTTTGTAAGAAACAAAATATCATTTATTTTCAAGGTATTATAGGTAAATATGCAATTAAACAAGATTCCATTAAATTTCTTAGCGGGTTTTTTCTAAAATAATTAGTGACATTCAATATTTTCTATATTACTATATTTTCACGTGTGTCAATTGCAGTCTTTTGCACTCGTTTCGTAAATTGGCATTTAATTTATCTATTTATCCACTATTACTATGCATTTACTTTTTGAGAATGCTTCAATTAGGACTCGTAACCTGAATGATTTATAGCGTGATCGCGGAGCAGGAAGAATGTCAAATTATTGCAATTCATACAAATGTGAACTTTAATAACTTGAGAATAAACTCAGTTTTCGAATCACAAGTACTGTTCATAAGGTACTAAAACTATCTTAGTTGCAATAGAAATACTACTTTTTATAATGGCAATTAAGTTTAAAAATGCAAAGCAATAAAAAAAATCCTGCTCTGCGACCGTGCTTTACCCAATCCATACAACTTCTTCTTTGTCTACCTACATTCTTTTTTACCTCTGCCTACATTTCTTTCGCTTTGGAGCAGATCAAATTGCAAAAGGAACTAAATATATTGTTGTTAATTTTATATAAAACACTCATTAATTAAATAATACCAACAAATAAATAAGTATGCACGTCTTAATTATTTGCGCTAAGGATTCCTAAAAACGGAGGTGTGTAAAGTTATATAATTTTCCTGTGATGGTGGTCACCTTCTATGACGTAGTCTCTTCCCGTTTGATTATACGAAGGTCGCTATTGACGCTTTACTGGCCTTTTCTACGTTGCAATAAAGGTGAGATTACTATGCTCCTATTTCAAATTATTTTATGTATATCCTGTTTACTGGATTTTTTGTTTTTATTTTCACAGGCCGTTACGCGTCAAAGGCATTTTTTTTTGCTATTCATATATAACGGTAAAGGTGTGCTTGATTATAATTATACATTCAAATCGTTTTTCTTCGACATAACTAATACTCCGAGCCGCGGCTACTGTATTATGGCTACGGCGTGGCTCTGCTCCTCTGTCAGAACACTAGTGTTAAATATTATAATGCGATATGTGGTGCGGTTGTATGTGTGGTGAAAGACAAGAAACAGATACCCCCTTTACTGGTTTGAAAGACATTCATATGTTTCATTTACCACTGGTTAGGATACCGCGTATTGACGGTGTATAAATATCTACAATGTACCCCATATTGACTCGAGGGTGTTGTAACGGGCGATAGAGGGAAATTAAAATAGGAAATTGGCAGCAACATCTTCCTGATATCAACTTAAAATTATAAAACTGCTGTTGCCAACCCACCTGCCAAGCGTGGCAACTATGGCAAATTCCCCCTCTGAGGTAATAGGGGAGGCCTATGTTCAGCAGTGTACTATAGGCTGTAATGGATGGATGTATAGAAGATAATCTACCAGGAGCACATGACCCACTGAGAGGTGAAATAATTAAATTAACAGTAACATTACAACTATGGCAAAATCCTTCCTATGAGGCAATCTATGGGAGAGTTCTATGTTCAGCAGTAGACTTTTATAGGCTATAATGGATGGATCCACTTGCCAAAAGGGGGAGTGTATGCTTGTTAATTATCCTTATTTGTATAAAAATATGGTATATTTTAATTTATCGATTGCAATATTAAATGAATTATTATGTCATCGGCTAGAAAGCTAATTACTCCAACGAGTACTCTAAGCACTGCTTGAAGTTAGTAATCTAATGACACTTGTAACGAAGTGCTTTTATCTGAAGAACCCTCTTTTGTCGCAGGTGATAACTCGATCCGCAGCCGGTATCAGAGGCGTACTCCACGCGACCCTTGTGGCCTTCGACAAACAGTGGAATCTCGCTCTAACTGACGTCTTAGAAATCTGGAAGAAGAAGGCGGTCAAGAAGAGGAAAATTCCACCGGCGCTGGGTATGCTTTTAAAGTCGAAATTCCTTTATAATATTGCTTTAGTAATAATTCAAAATGCTGTCATATTAACCAGTTTTATCTGTCTTCTATCGATCTATATCTATATACTATATACTATCTATAATAAAACTATAACACGACGTATGTCTGAACATGCATCACGCAAAAACCTGTAACCGATTTGGATAGCACGCTACTTTTATTTTAGGGTTCCGCGCAAAAAAATTCCACGAGCGTGAATTCGTGGGGAACAGCTAGTAATATATATGCGTATATGTATGCATGTGTATATATGTTAAAGTATATATTTATGCTCATAGCCTATAAATAAAATGAGGAAGACATTTAAATAAAGGGAAAACTTTGTAAAATCAGCCGTGCACTAATTTTTGTTTGTTTATCTGTGTACTCGTATATGGCTCTCGCGATACAGGTCTGCGCGCCCAGGTGTGAGAACCTTTGCTAAATTTTTTGTTAAGGTGCAAACTGTCAAATAAATAATTTAGATTTTTTTTTCATTTTTAACGTAATTTTCATCGTAACATAAAACTGTCTCATGTTTGTGAATATTTTTCGTAACAGGTACACCCGTACCGAAAGGTACAGCAGCGGCCTTATCCTACGTCCCGGTAGTCACGGAGACACCGGTGGGAAAAGGCGTGTTGGAGTGCACGCGGCATATACCGCAGATGATGGTTCGGGGGGAACATGTGGTGTTAGTGAACGTAGTAGAACGGTGATTGAGTATAATATATAAGATTATTATATGTGTCGTTCATAGTATATTAGAAAAGGACAAACACACGCAAGATCTGATTACTGCCGCATTTATATATATAAATGTTAAAAAAAATTTTAATATGTAAGTTGGTATCATTGTCTGCCTTTTTAAGTTCCTATTTGAAAGTTATTGTATTGGTTCCAATATTTGAAAGATATTTACGCAAATTTCAACACATCTCTACGTTTTGATCTTTTGAGGTGCGTAGAGTTCATTCATTTTGTTTTAAAAAGATGTCCGAACCTTTGTATGCTTGTACGTTTGTAATTTTTAATTTTGCACACCTCGAGAAATCTTGATGACGTCTCCAAATTTTTATTAGAATAAAGGTGAAAAACATGCACACTTCTCCTGATTGTAAGTGGATACTGTGGTTCATAATATCTACATCTACCCCCAATCATGAGTCAAAATACAGATGACACTCCTGAGGACCAAGATCAATTGCCTTGCTGTTAGTAAAAAAGGTCTGGTTCCCATCACTCACCACATGAAACACAGCAGCATTATGCTGCTATTTCACTTTGGTATTCTGTACGAGCGTCCCGCCTCACTCGGGACGGCACATTTTATCTGCAGTTGTAATACGGCTATCACGTACAAAAAATCATTCAAGTTTTAATTGCGAAATGAGTAATCATTAAGTTTAAGTAAAGATTAAGTTCATATTAATGTCGAATATTATATAATTTTTTTTTAATGTAGAAATAAAAACTTTCAATAAGTCTCTATAATGATAAGTTTTATTTTTAGTTTTTTTTTTATATTTTGGTTTTTGTGACAGCCTATATACGCAACACTGCTGGGAACAAGCTTTCTCTCAATTCTGAGAGGGTCTTAGGGCAAGGAAATGTCTGCCGCGCTGCCTAAATGTGTGTTGGCGAACTTCACATGTCTTCGAAATTTTTGTTTTCATATTTCTTAGACATGCAGGTTTTCTCACGATGTTTTCCTTTATTGCCGAGCACGTGGTAAATCAGCACTTAAAATTGCAATTGACAATTTCATTGGTGCCGGTAGAAGGGTGACAATGTGTTAAACAGCTCTTACAAGCTTGACCTGTATAGATGTAATAGAGTGGAATTTTCTTAATTTACTTTTCACGTACTTCCGAACATCAGAAAATAATCGTAAATTATGAAATATCACATAATCATTCAATATTATTTTATATAAATTAGTTCAAATGATTAGAAATATATTTAACGTCGAATAAATGATCAATAGCGAGCATAATTATCAATGCGTGTTGCTTGTAGTTTTAAGTATAATTTTTTATTTTATACTTGCATTGTGAAAACTTCAACTATTTACATAGAATTTCCACAGTATTAATAGAAGGTTTCTTATCTATGTTAATAATAGGTTATATACATCATTATGTGACATTGAAATGTTCCTAACAAAAATATTATAAATACGAAGAAAATTTCGTTTTATATTTGAGTATACTTACTATTTTGTTACCTTAACGTAATAAATTATTACTCAGTTATTGGATATTTTCTTAAATAACCTATTTATGCACACACGTTGATGCTTAGTTTAAATTGGATATTTGCACTAAAGATCATCATATAATTTTGTACATTCATATGATTTAACTGATAACGACGTGTAATAAAAGATGGAGCTAAGTAGAGGTAATAAACAGAAGAGAGAACCCCTTTTACAACACGGGATAAGTGCAAGCTCGTAATTAAAGCACGTAAAGCAGTTGCTCCTGCGCTTAACTGCTCGTGTTGGATTATGAGATTGAAGGTATAGCAAGTGCACCTGAGTTTGCGCACATTCTCGAGCACTATAATCCTGTCCGGCGCAGAGGGCTAGTCCCCGTTGAGACTGGCCGCCGTGACTGAAATTCGATTTGGAGGACGTTATAAAACCAAGGAAGAAGAGTCAACAAAAGAAGAAATAATTGCTGCTTTGTTCATGGGCTCATATTTTCTAACAACCATAATATAGCTACATCATGGCTCCACCACGTATAATATATACTTTGATATAGTGCAGAATTGAAGAAAATCAATACCCAATACGTTACTTTTTATGGATTGTTTCCTCTTGCATAACCATGTCCAATTATATTTCAGTTTCAAAATATCATAGAAATGCAATTTTATCGCTAAGAATAGCGTATTCTTAAGAAATAATTACTAGAAAGTTTTAACGAGTGATGTAGGTAACGAAGAGATCCATTATAAAGGAATATTGTTTCTTACCCCTGAAAGTGTGGGCGTGATTGGACATCCGCCAGGGGGCGTCGCACCCGAAACACAGGCCATTGTCGCTAATCGAACTCTAATATAAATAGAAAACTAAATCATCTCTGAAATCTTTTAATATTTATTTTCCCGTCAAAATATATACTTTGATAAATTTTAAAGGTGTTAATAGAGTTTTTTAAACAACAAATTACTTATGTTAATTAAAACCTTTTAGCTGTAGCCCATAACACTTACATCTGTTGTCGATTTGACGCATTTTTCTTTTTCATTCTGTTGAAAATAAACTGTTAAAAATTACACACAGCTTATTAGCAAGGAGTTTTTTCAATTAAATAGAGACATTTTGATTAAAATAATTCTACAATTCTTAAATTACTACTATTTAATTGACAAAATTGCTACCAAACTGTAGTTCGCGGCATCACATCTATGGCTGTAATCGACATATCACTTCTTTCTTTTTTTTTTCTCTTAATTCTGGCAAACGGTCTTTTGACCACGCTGTCAGTTTCAAGTTAAAAGTCCTTCATTTTTATGAAAAAATTGGCAATTCGAAATTGGAATCAAGATGGCGTGAAAGCACGCGATAAGAAGCGCCGGCAGTCAGGCCGTGGTGCGCGAGGTCGACGCACGGTCGCCGGCGGTCATCAGCAGGAGCGACGCCCGCGGCCGCCCGGGAACGACGAATGAAAATGGAAAAACAATTGTTAGGAACAATGCGTAGGTTCATAACGCTTCCGTGTCAAGGCGTGAGCGCGTAGGGTTTATGGGAGATCGTTTCCCTTTGTAATATCTGGGCGCTTTGTGAGCCAACCACTCATGAGGCGACCACTCGCAAATCTATTATAACAAATAGGTTATTATTTAAAACCGTTATGTTACAAGATTGTAATAAAACTGTGTGTGCCTATAAACATGTGACTAGTTAATTTTAATTATAATTTACTACCTGGTACCCGGCGTGTTACTGCCGCAAAAAATAATTGTAGAAATATCATTTTAAATTTGGAAGAGATATATTGTTTAATTATAAATTAGAAATGATAATGATGTTGATATAAAACTTTCAAATAAATTTGTCGGTACGATACGCGCGCCACCTACTAAAAGTTTAAAATTGTACGATGCCTATAACTTGCAAGCAATAAGTTGACAAAGTTTTAGCGCAATCTTATGAACGGTTTGGCAGCGCATAGAATACGAACAAACAAAAAGTAATTTTTATATATTAGATATACAATAGAAACATTTCAGTAAGTATTTATTTAATAATAACTTTTTGTTTGTACAAAGTGTAGTGTTTTACGTCAATTTAATGATATTTATTCAAAATATGTAACAGTCATCTATGTTGATTAAATAAATGAAAATATTATATTAGAAACAACAGCTTTAGGACCTTGGATGTCCCAAAATAGTTTAAAACATAGTAAATCTTTGATATATTATGAACATCGCATCACGATCGATTTTATCTATTCCGACCTTATTTTTAAGCATTAATTATGTCATCGCGGAAATCAAAAATAAGTCGCACCGTCGTTCTTGAACTTTACGCTACAAATTAAGGAGTATTATCATCAGATACTAATAACTAACAAGGATAATGTATCGGCCATCTTTATCAGTTCACAATAGCAAAACTTGTAACCTTGTCGTAACCTTCTCAGTAATGAATACGACATCGGTAATAAATGTTTTATAAACCATAAACAACAATCAATATAATGAAATATATTAGAACCACGCTGCAGCTGTATTATGGTTGTAGCACTACTGGGTCGGCTCGACCGGGAAAGGACCACGTTGTCACAAAATATCAGCGTATAATAGCAGCTTTATGCTGCTGTTTCGATTAGATTGTGTTCGAGTGTAGAGAACCAGAGACCCATTTTACTGTAAATTTAGGCATTCCATCTTAGTCCTCGAGGGTGACAACGCTTCTGATTTTTAATTCTTAATCGAGGATAGATAGATGTAGGTGTGTTTGGGCCGCAGCATCCACTAAGGCCTCCTGGTGGCTCCCTGTCATTACTAGGGCTCCATTACTAAAATGATTTTAGAGTGTAGGCGGATATGTCTGAGAAATATTTTTACTTTCTTACACGTGCAAGTTTTTCCACACGTTTTTCCTACACCGCCAGCACGTGGCTCTTAAACTTCGATTCTAACCCGGCACTTAAACTTCGATTTACATTTTTAGCGATTCCGGCGGATTGCCATGAGTTTATGGCGAGTGTCCAAACGCTGAGCTTTTGACGGTTCGTGTTTTTTTTTTAAATATTTCTGATTTAAACCAATTCGATTACTAAGTCTACGACTGCCGCACGTCTGTCTGTCTCAGAATATGCCATCGCGTATATTTAAAAAAATCAAGAAAGTGTAAGTCGTTATTACCGTTGTAATGGTGCAATTAAATTAGTTTTTTTTAATGAGGTATATAGTACCGTTATATGTGTACATAATCTCAAACTAATGAAATCCCGATTTTGGTGGGATTAGTCTGAGAATGGGAACCACGCGAAATTTCTTCGGTGGTTAAGACGAGCGTTATTCAGAGGGTGTGTATAAATAGGGCTATTGCACAACATCGGACGATGCACTGCGGGCCCGGTGGCACCGAACTTACATCCTATGATTAGTTATTTGTAGTTTGGTTTAATTTAAAGAAGAATATAAATAAAAGTTCTTCTATAGTATCATTGTCATCATAGACCTAAAATAGTTCACT